ACCTTTAATACCAAATTTACCTCTCCCAATATCTTTGGTCTATTTGGAAATTGCAGGATGGTTTTTTTTTTTAGAAAATACTGTTACAAATTAAGGATTTCATTTTAATCGTAGTAAATTTAGCTTCTTTTGTATTCAACAAACTGTTACTAGCCCTTCCATGAATGGATGTAACGTAAACAAATACTGTATTTACTAAATAACCTTAGATTTCGTAGTAAAACTGGTTGCGTAGCTAGTTTGATTCATCATACACCATCAATATCTGTATAGCAATATCTGTATCTTTTCGTTTTATTGTAAAATATTCAGAATACTAAATGAGTGCTTTCCGTTTATTTTGCTACAATAAACACAACAGCTGATCAGCAAGACAGTTTCGCCATGTAGCAGTTCCTCCGAAAATTACATAATATACTTTCCCTCTTTAACTTATTTCTCGCCTCAGAATAATATTTCATTTTAAAGCCTATTTGATTTTAAAATTTCATTTTAATGACGGGCGTTTACAGAAAATTTTTATTTCTCTCAGCCCGTCAACCTGTTTCATTAACCAAGGGTTTCATAATCCTAGAAGTATACACAAGCTTTCTTATGTTCGTAATGTATCTGATTTGCTGTTTGTTGTTTGGAATAGAGCTATTACTGCCTAGTGGACAATTCTTCAAAATCGTAATGGTAAAGACGCCTTCAATACATTTAAATTTCAATATTACCTCGCAAAATATTCGTGTTAAGCTTAAGAATCGACGCCTTATGGCGGATAACCTCAGAAAGGTATATCCCACCATCAAGGATAACTACCCGCATCAGTAAGACATCAGTTCTTTATTGATACTGACATTAGGGAAGACATTTGACTTTACTGGGTCTTGGCTTATGACTGACATTACAAAAAGAATCTACAAAAGAGAAAAATATTGACCATGCAGATAAGATAAGGTAGATAAGGATTTGATTGGACTCTTCTGTTTTATTAAAGCGTGTTGTAATTGTATGACAACCAAATATCGCCTAGTCTGCGTAACATGTAAAACCTTTCCGTTGCTGTATTCTCATTACCTTTACTAGCTTTGTAATACCCCTTCCATTGTATTAGATTTTACCATATTTTACTTAATACAGTGCTATATTTGTTATTGTTGTAAACCAATATCGTAAATAGCTATAACATGTAATTACCAAAGTTCAGTGTTGTGGTATTATTTATTAGAATAAACCTCACTTATACCAGTCAGACATTAAATACTAACTTACAGTTTGGTGAAACTACGCATTATATTTTTAAGTAATATGCCATTATTATTACACCAATTTTTAAAAAAATGACCAAATATTATGTTGAGTGTAAAAGTATTTGAATTTGAAAACAGACCCTGCTATCATAAAAATCATGTCATCTGTAGTTGGGATGGTCTCTTAGTCCGCAGACCCCACCATAAATACCATTCTAGTCTAAAAAACATTAAAAAAACAAAACAATAAAGTTACAGCACATAACCAGACCCAAACTTGTGACGCCGGTTGACAATACACAGTTACACCGGCTGTTAACTCGTGTAACTACAGTTATTGATGGCTCTCTTAAGCTTTGGTCGTTACACCTACATTCAATAAAGTTATAGCATATGACCAGACTCAAACTTGTGACACAGGTTTACAATACACACAGTTACACCGGTTGTTAACTCGTGTAACTACAGTTATTGATGGCTCTCTTAAGCTTTGGTAGTTACACATACATTCAATAAAGTTATAGCATATGACCAGACCCAAACTTGTGACACAGGTTTACAATACACACAGTTACACCGGCTGTTAACTCGTGTAACTACAGTTATTGATGGCTCTCTTAAGCTTTGGTCGTTACACATACATTCAATAAAGTTATAGCATATGACCAGACCCAAACTTGTGACACAGGTTTACAATACACACAGTTACACCGGCTGTTAACTCGTGTAACTACAGTTATTAATGGCTCTCTTAAGCTTTGGTCGTTACACATACATTCAATAAAGTTATAGCATATGACCAGACCCAAACTTGTGACACAGGTTTACAATACACACAGTTACACCGGCTGTTAACTCGTGTAACTACAGTTATTGATGGCTCTCTTAAGCTTTGGTCGTTACACCTACATTCAATAAAGTTATAGCATATGACCAGACCCAAACTTGTGACGCCGGTTTACAATACACACAGTTACACCGGCTGTTAACTCGTGTAACTACAGTTATTTAATGGCTCTCTTAAGCTTTGGTCGTTACACATACATTCAATAAAGTTATAGCATATGACCAGACCCAAACTTGTGACACAGGTTTACAATACACACAGTTACACCGGCTGTTAACTCGTGTAACTACAGTTATTGATGGCTCTCTTAAGCTTTGGTCGTTACACATACATTCAATAAAGTTATAGCATATGACCAGACCCAAACTTGTGACACAGGTTTACAATACACACAGTTACACCGGCTGTTAACTCGTGTAACTACAGTTATTAATGGCTCTCTTAAGCTTTGGTCGTTACACATACATTCAATAAAGTTATAGCATATGACCAGACCCAAACTTGTGACACAGGTTTACAATACACACAGTTACACCGGCTGTTAACTCGTGTAACTACAGTTATTGATGGCTCTCTTAAGCTTTGGTCGTTACACCTACATTCAATAAAGTTATAGCATATGACCAGACCCAAACTTGTGACGCCGGTTTACAATACACACAGTTACACCGGCTGTTAACTCGTGTAACTACAGTTATTTAATGGCTCTCTTAAGCTTTGGTCGTTACACATACATTCAATAAAGTTATAGCATATGACCAGACCCAAACTTGTGACACAGGTTTACAATACACACAGTTACACCGGCTGTTAACTCGTGTAACTACAGTTATTGATGGCTCTCTTAAGCTTTGGTCGTTACACATACATTCAATAAAGTTATAGCATATGACCAGACCCAAACTTGTGACACAGGTTTACAATACACACAGTTACACCGGCTGTTAACTCGTGTAACTACAGTTATTAATGGCTCTCTTAAGCTTTGGTCGTTACACATACATTCAATAAAGTTATAGCATATGACCAGACCCAAACTTGTGACACAGGTTTACAATACACACAGTTACACCGGCTGTTAACTCGTGTAACTACAGTTATTAATGGCTCTCTTAAGCTTTGGTCGTTACACATACATTCAATAAAGTTATAGCATATGACCAGACCCAAACTTGTGACACAGGTTTACAATACACACAGTTACACCGGCTGTTAACTCGTGTAACTACAGTTATTTAATGGCTCTCTTAAGCTTTGGTCGTTACACATACATTCAATAAAGTTATAGCATATGACCAGACCCAAACTTGTGACACAGGTTTACAATACACACAGTTACACCGGCTGTTAACTCGTGTAACTACAGTTATTAATGGCTCTCTTAAGCTTTGGTCGTTACACATACATTCAATAAAGTTATAGCATATGACCAGACCCAAACTTGTGACGCCGGTCTGCAATACACACAGTTACACCGGCTGTTAACTCGTGTAACTACAGTTATTGATGGCTCTCTTAAGCTTTGGTCGTTACACATACATTCAATAAAGTTATAGCATATGACCAGACCCAAACTTGTGACGCCGGTTTACAATACACACAGTTACACCGGCTGTTAACTCGTGTAACTACAGTTATTTAATGGCTCTCTTAAGCTTTGGTCGTTACACCTACATTCAATAAAGTTATAGCGTATGACCAGACCCAAACTTGTGACGCCGGTTTACAATACACACAGTTACACCGGCTGTTAACTCGTGTAACTACAGTTATTGATGGCTCTCTTAAGCTTTGGTAGTTACACATACAATCAATAAAGTTTGGCGTTATCAAGGTTTTACTGTCCATAAAGGTTTATTATCAATAACGGTATGGTGTGTTTCAATACTCTGATGGTTAATTTCAATGGTGGTACTTAAAGGAGTTGTAGTAGTGAGTTTACTACATTTTCTATACATCAAGAAAACATGGTATAAGGGAATTTGTCTAAGTATGTTTGTGATACCTTGTGCAGCCTCTATCTTGTAATATGATGAGAGTTTAAAAAGCGTTTGAATATAATAGGTATACAAACAACAGTTTTGTTTACTATTAATGAAATACAAATATATATAAAATTGTCTGCGTTTTTCCAATGAATATGTGTTAGTTTTTTTACCCAGTTTTATTGGCTATTTCGGACGTTGACCTTATGCTTGAAAAGATTATTTTTATTGATAAATCTTCTAATATATTTAATAAAGAAACCCGCAACCCTTTCACCCGAGAAAGGTGGTACAGTAACACAAATTAAGGTTAAACGGGTTTGTCAATTAGTGATCCCCTTTCTATAATAATATTAGTAAAATTTCATAGGCCAATAGTAATATTGAAACCTATTTTGAATGTTCATTAACTACCAACAGTCGTTATCAAATTACTTACAGTGGTTTGTACGTTTCGCTATCATTCTTACCAATATATTTTCAAAGTGGTGTTGTTAAATAAGGCAATCAGGCCAGAATAATACAGATTTCTTAGTTGTTTTTCAAGAGCATAAATTTACTAGTTTATGTTTTAACAATTGCCTACAATATAATTAGCATACCCAACACTATAACCCTGAAATGCAACCACAGCTGGAGTGGAACATATTATTACAATCAATTCCTCTGACAGCAAAAGGTTATTGATATAATATTATAAAAAGTAATCACTATAAATAATGAAAGTTGTAAATTATATTTAAATGTGAACACTACTCACGCTTGTCATAAATAAATACGAGTACAGACATATGAATCATGGAAACGGAAGTTGATATTGCAGCGTTACGTGTAAAACATCACACAAACAATAAAGTGTTAGTGGCCAATTATCTTCGATTATAGGTTATTCAGGAAACCATATCAAACAGTGATTTAGACACAGAGGAATAGGCAACTTCCATTCGTAGTTCTACACCGATATGAATTCGAAGATAATTTATGTGTTGTTAGTTATTGAAATTAAAATAACCGCTGGAGCATTTGGACCTAAGGTGGTAAGTAACTATGCAGTTATTACAAAAATATAGGAGTAGATGGTAAACATAAATTACCTAATCAACCATAAAAACTATTTTAATCAACTAAAATAATTGTTAAGTTCATAACTGGTAGATCTATGCACAACACGCCAATCATACTCATACTGTATTCATATCTGAAACTGTAAACTATAAATTCAAGAATGTATTAGGGTAGTAGGCTATTTCGTTAACCTTAATCATCTTCAGACCCAATAAGGGAAAGAATACCATAAAAACTAACTGCAGCTCCGTTTCTCCTAGCACGGCAATGATATGAATCAACCCATAATAAGAATAAACAATTTGTTTTGCGAAAAATTCGAACTGCACAATAAGTCATGGCCGTTTTGCTCTAAATATTGTCGAGTGGTCAAAATGAAAATACGAACATATTAGTTAATGTTGTATACAAAATACAATTATTATGTATATAATAAGGTGTAAGTATACCTTTAGAGTGTTATCAAACAAGTTGTTTTTCAAACTCGTGACTAACAATAACTCATGTTAAGTTTAACAAATAAATGATCTCTTCCATGTGCAGTATTGTGAATTTAATAATGGGCCTAGGCGTACGTGCACTGTGCACTGTGCAGGCACCTGTTCATGGGGTCCGATTCAATGAGTGTTATAGTTTTAGCGAATTTCCCATATAGGGAATACGCTATTACCGTAGGTCTCTAGGTAAGACCCTGGATCCAGGACCGATTTACTTTTTCGTTTAAAGGTCAACAGAGGCAAAAACACCATACTGTATATGTGTTCGTCAGGGGCGTCATTTGGGGGGGCAGGGGGGCATTTCCCCCCCGTGGATCCTGGGCTAGAGAAAAAAATATGCTGTCCTAGCTAATATACAAATATTTTCTCCTGTCAAATCCTAAAAAGCACGGCAGAAAAAAATCTGCCCATTCTTGTACAGTAATTTGAAACAAAAATATTATTAGATAGCACATTTTAAGTTTACATATTACATAAATTAGTAGTTTTGTTATTCATTTACTTTTTCTGGTTGGTTCTGTACGATCAACCACTTACTTCTAGTATATATACATAAACATGCAGATGTTTTTAGAAGCATTGCTTTGTCATTTACTTTTATGAATTATTCAAGCATTAAAATTATACACGTGTATCAATTTTACGTAATTTATTTTGAACATTGTAGACTACCAATTTAATATAGTTAAATAGAACCTTTTGTACTTTTGTGTCAAATTATTTTATTTGTGATAAAATTTGATTTACTTTTAAGTTCTTAAATACTTGTATTTGATTTAAAAACCAAAATAAACTGTTATAAACTATAGGCTATGAACGACCGTATTCATTACTAAATGTTGTACAAGAGAAATTGGTCATGAATCTAATAACAAACATAATATTAATACATCATGGAAATATATCACGTTTCTTAGATGTAACTTACCAACATATTATTACGTTTCTGACTGTTGTCAATAATTGTTGGTTTCATTAATTTTCTGCCTAAATTTGAATACATTTTACTCATAATTTATTTTTATTTGAAGTGCTTTTGACAATTAAAATACGCTTTTTTGTTTAAAAACTGCCAAATTTTCCGGGGGAGCTCATAACAAAAAATAATTTAGTATATTGAAGCATTGTTGTATTCCTAACGGTTACGGAAAAATCCCAGAAAAGTGTAAATTTAAAATTATTATGTTATTCTTATGGAGAATAAATAATACACTGTTGTAGCTTGCTTGTCTACAGACATATTTTAATGAAATTTTGTTTACTTCATACTAAGCTTTCAACATTTTAATAAAAACCCCCTATATTCTTCCCTGTAGCAGCAAACTAAGTACTCATTAAAACTAATGACATTTAAATTGGAAATAATTCTGACAATTTTAAGGGAATAAATTTAGTGGAATTCCAGCCAGGTAGATGGAAATTTGCTTAGCCTTCAGGTTTGCTACGGCGGGGGTATTCTTTTAATTAATACACTTTGTGTTTTATTCTCTGCATTTTGTAAAGAAGAATGCAAATTTATATGTTTAATTTGAGTTAAATAAAGAGTGGATTTTAACCCAGTACTTAAATGTATTAATGAACAGGTTCTTTTTAATTTTTAGGGACCTTACAATATTGAATTTGAAACTTTAATGAAATGTGAAGACGAAGGTTCTGGAAAAATAGTGTTTGCCACCAGAATAACGTCTGCTGGAAATGGAACATTTTTCTACAATGAAAACTTCACCCTCGGTGTTCCAATAGACGAAAACTCTAAGGTGACTCACAAACCTTAAATTTAAGTAACTTTTAGGAAGTTTTACATATTTCTCATAAAACTATATGGTCCAGAAGCAAACCAGATGGTTTACCTATACTTAGTATATTTAACTTTTCGGTCTCTTTAAATTTACGTTATAGCATCACTCTGTAAATGGAAATACAGTGGCTCATTTTCATAAGACTGAGCTTTACAAAAATTGTCAGTTTCCAATAGGGTATATGAAAAAAACATTTAGTTTGCCTGGCCAAAACTTTTCCTGTCTAACAAACAGTCTAGCCTAGTCTAGACAGTACTTTGTCCATCACAAACAAACGTGTTCCTGTCCCAAACGAAGTTTTCCTTTAGCTCAACAGGAGCACTAATTCATTTATTATTTTATTTCAAGAAATATGTTCGAACAATTCTGAACCCGTGCTATGTACTGAGCTAGAAATACAACTGGAGGGGCGCACATGAAAAGAGCCCAAAAACTTAGGCAGACGCTTGAAAAGCGCCCGGACCTCCAAGGTCCCACCCAGGACGGTGCGAAAAGAGCCCGGGCTCTTCCTAGAACTTTCACAACGAGTCTTCAAAGGAGAAAGAACCAATAATACAGTTGAAATACATGAATTTATTTACAATATTAAAAGATACACTGTTAAAAGATACATTATTAAAATATAGATTATTAATAGATATTTACATTACTAAAAGATACAGTATGTTTACCTAACCTAACCTAAACTAACCTAACCTAACCTAACTTAACCTAACCTAACCCAACCAAACACAACACAATTGCAGAACACGAGTTAGCTTCCTCCTCCTCAGGTACCTGTGGAGACCCAGGCTCTTTCCATGCTTAAGATTAGTGAACCATTTTGGGGGTTAAAATTTCGGGCTCTTTTCATGTGCTCCGAAGTGGAGATAGCACTTGCTCAACTCTCAGCTCTGATAGAAAGCCGATACGCTGTAATTTTGTTAGATTAATACCAACTAGGGGATCCAGCTCATGGTTTTATGTATGCACAATGATACAATCCAAAGAATCTCCTTCTACAAATGGCAGTCAACGTTTCGCCATTCCCTCACTCACCACTGACAACAGTTTTTGTAACTGTGGGCAGTGTTTGCAGCTTCTTTCAAGAGAATTACTAGACTCTTACTAATTATAAGAGAATTACAAGACATAATCTTTTAAAAAAAATCAAGAGGTTTGTGTGATTATTATCGTTATAAAAAGTTCCGTTCACAACACTAGGACGTTCTATTTCTGAGCTAGTAGTGAAATGTGCAGGGTGACCGACAGGAACCAAGAAGGTTCTAAATTGTGTAAAAATTTCAGCTTTTCATTATAGGATAGTTAATTTAGTTAGTTTTACTATGTATGTAATCGCAGGGAATAATGGAACTTCAGAAATGGGGGAACGGTGGATGGCGGAAGAGGTCAATGATGTACACGATCAAAAACTGTGATGAACTTTGGAAAATGATCGGAGACAAGATGCTTGACTTTTTCCAGTTTTCAAACTCAAGCGTTATGGGGTGCCCTATTCCACAGGTAAGGTTTTTTCTTCTAAAAAGAATTGCCGTGACCATATCATTTATATGAATCGTAATATCAGTAAATTGATAATACTTAATTAAATTTGTCAAAATATTATACAGTTGGGATCTTACTAAAGTTTGTTTTTCTTCTAGCTGTATTTCTTCATGCTCTTTTGTGGGCAGAAATACCGACCCAGATGCCATTTGTATTGGGCTATAAATTAATGATGCTATTTAACAAAAAGGCCGAAGTTCGGTAGTAACAAGACCAGGGTTTGGGCCGTTCTCTTTCAAAACGTAAAAGATGCCACTGGCATATAAATCACTCAAAATAAAAATAAGACAGTTATACGTATACAAATAATCTAGATAGTAAAATCATATAGGTGGTGGAAGTTATTTTTGAAAATCCTCGATTTCTTTCATCACAAATTTATGCATAATTGAATACTTCATAAAAATTGTGTGACAACAGGAGAAAATTCTTAATCTGTTTAAGAGATTTTCGGCAAATTAGTAGTTTAACAATTGTGTCTCATTATCGTGGGTGCTATTGATCAATTGAAGGACGACTTCAAGGACTACAGTGACATAAAAACAATGTGTTTTGATTCCAGGGCACCTACAAAGTAGAGAATTGGCCTCTACATTTGGAAACAGAAAAGGTAGTTCCTGTGATGGAGTATGGGAAATATAGATGGATCATGAAAATTTACTATTCGAAAGAGTTTGTAGGCTGCATAATGGGAGTATTAAACATTGTGCCGAAATAGTTACATCAATGTACTGCTTATACTCTTACTTGTTCATGAATATGTCAGAATAATCACAGTTCTAATAGTGAACAACATTAATTACAAATTACATTCAATGCCTTAGTCACTAATGTCTTGGACTATAATTCATTCATGAAAATGTTAGTATAAATAAATGGACTAGTGTAAATGTTGTGTAGAACACCTTAGTTTATTTAAATTTCCTGATTATCTTCAGATTAGTGCAGAACTTAAGAATCGACGCCTTATGGCGGAAAACCTCAGAATGGTATATAGCACCATCAAGGATAACTACCCGCATCAGTAAGACATCAGTTCTTTATTGATACTGACATTAGGGAAGACATTTGACTTTACTGGGTCTTGGCTATGACTGACATCTAAAGAAACAATCAACATAAAATCACTATTGGCTCACAAGTAAACAAGGGAAATATTTTTATTCCCGAATATTGTTTTGAGATTAGGTTTCCAGTAGTCACATTAAAATTGAATATATTATTTATAGAGCTTTTAAAAACATTTGACCATGATGGTTAGATTAATGTATCAGCAGTCCTAAAATGCTATGGGAAGGGAGGGAAATAGGTCCACGATGTAGAGAGTGGTGAAGGAAGTAGTCAAGGCGAGCAGTGTGGAGTGTGATAATTGATTAATGTATCTGCAATACTAAGACTGCTTTCAGAATAAACTAATGGTTTGGCCCGAGCAAAGCTCAGTCCCCAGGTACTTTTTTTAAAGCTACTGGTAGATACTAAACAGGTATGCCCTATTGATTAACTGAATTAGGTTTAGTAGAAACAACACAAAAATTTAGCACCAACACCAGATACAAATCATGAAACCGGAACAGGCTGTTTTAACTCATGAAACTACGGCAAGTGATTGCTTTCCTAAGCTTTAGTCGTAAAACATGCAATCAAAGAACTCTACGTTACAGTCCGGTGAGGTTTACCACCTATAAGATAAGGCGTGTTATCTTAGTGTTACTGCTTCTTTCATTGTTGATGCTTAAAGTGTCAACAAATAATTTGATTTAAATGCAATGAATATTTGTTCGTAAAAATATATATAAAATACGTTAATATTCTTACGATAATTGTTTTTATTACTACTGTCCCTTAACCTCCAACAGACATTATTTCCTGATAATGGTATTGAAAGATTTAAGAGGATAGGTTCTGGAAAATTAAAACTTTAAATTTGTCTAAAAACTTGTATTGAAGGGGTTTTTTAGTAAAAAAAAAAAAACATGAACCAACACCATTAGTCTGAGACGAATAATAAAACACAAATAGGACTTTCAACTCGAGTAAAAATTATGTCTCTACTTCAGTTTGGTCTTTCTTGTTACACATAACATAAATAGATGTAATTTGGCATTGTGTGTTAACGTATTACGATTGTTACTTCTATTTTTTGAGCACGATGAAATGTCCATTAATCAATTAAGGTAAACGTTTGTATAATTTAATAAATTGATTAGTAAAATAATTTTCAGGAAACTACCTACCGGATTATATTCATTATTGGAGCTTGTGACTTTGACCCCTCCACCAGACCTCTATTATTTTCTGACAAATGTGTTGACAGATTCAGGAGGTAAAAAGTATTCCAATTTCAAGAACCGTCGATCACGCCAACTCCCGATACGATCGACAACTGGAAATTTGTTTTCAGCTCTCTGTTAGAAACAAGTATTGTATGAACCCCCAAAGTATGTGTGCATCCATTAATATTATCCTATGAATCCCAAAGTACCCATGAACTTTTGAGAAAACTACAAGTCACACCACCATAAACCATACTTAAAATGTTCGTCATGACGAGAAACCTTGCGCAAAACTATAGGCCTACATTATTTCATAAAATGCCCTTTAAGGTCGTAATTCCTTTCTAAAGGGAACTTTCCATATACTTAATATAAAAAATACCTTGGCTGTACTTATTTGTATTTTATTATTTCAATTTATTACATTATTAAAATCAGGCGTGGTTATTTGTTTGTATTACTGTATTCTGTTTTGTTTATTTAATCTTAACTTAACCAATCAACAGTTTTATCAATACTTATGAAGTCAAACGGGGTGAAGCCCATAGGTAACAGCTAGTTGATGTAAAACTTAAAGGTATAATACATTGATAATTATTTATTCGATATAGAAAAACTGATTCAGTGAACAGGTCGATACTAATTGACCGTAGTATTTATAAAGGCTTACATTTAAACCACCTTATCCATAGTTGTAGATTCTTTATGTTTAATACATACAATAATGTAGATCGGACGAAAATTTACGATTTTTTTGTAAGAAGGAACTCGGAGGTTTATTAGAATCAGAAAATTGCTTGATTGATATTCGAATTCAATAGCATTTTCTCAGTAACGTTTCGATATTTCGATTCGCAACAATCAACACAACAGCTGATCAGCAAATCCCCTCCGCCATGTTGCAGTTCCTCCAATCATCATCCCCCTGTAAAGGACGTCCTTTATTATACCTCCAAATCCCTCCCGCCTTAATTCAAAGCATTCATTTACTCCAGAACCGTAGCTGGAAAAACTACGTTCATTAATTCTGTGATCTTAATAATGATCTTGAAATTCGAAAAGTCAAAGAAGAAATTACAAAATGTAGTGAAAAATACATTATCAAATTGTAAAATCATTCAAATCATCTTGCACTTAATTTATTGGACAATCACAACACCATTTACAGACTGAAGCGAAATACGATATTGGACCTCCCATTCAGAATTCGGCTAAGTGTTATCAACATTCTCTTTGTTAGCTAGTGTTGATAGTGGTCAATCAAAGTTAATAAAAAATAAAAATTAAATTAATTCTGTGAAATAAATAATAGCTAAAAAGTAGGAGAACATAGTTTATTTCCTACTTGTACTATTACTACAACGATCGAAAAAGTTGTGTTGATATTTTTAAATGATCTGATTTTTAGTTTTTTTTTTGTAACATTCGGCATATCAAGATAATATCTACTCTTCTCAATGAATTTATACTGCTACAATACTTGTTTATAGTATATATCCTTAAAATAGAATTATAAAGCATCAAATTAATCTATTTTAAAAAACCTATTATTGAAAAATTTTAATTAACAAACAAGGAATAGACGTGGTAGGGCTAACATTGTAACCTTCAGAAAATGTCGATGGATAAGTGTAAAAATATTTACTTTAAACAAAGAATAAATGAATAAGTAAAACGATTTGTAGTGAGTAAAATTATGTTTGGATTTATTTTGTCGTCATTAGGTTCTTGTGTTTTCATTTTGAGTGACCTTATTAGTACAAGAAAACTAAACCGTAATTCCTAAGCGGACAAGACATATAAGGAAATTTTTTTACATGATCAAGAACATAATAATTATTATTTTGGCATGGGGTTTTTTGCGTTTGTAGCTCAAAAGCACAACTAATTAAAGTTGACTTATTATTATTAAACTTCTTTTGGGACGGGTGGCGTCGTCCTGTAATCCAGCTACTAGGAGGTCACGAATTGTGGATATTTATAGGGATGCACTGTGGATGCGATGCTCCCTAGTGTGGATTAACGTCCGCACTAGTGAGTACTACGACTATCCGCAGTACTATCCTGAAATTACAAGGAAAAAATGTGGTTCGGATTCCACTATAAACTGTAGGCCCCTTAGTTGCCATTAGCTGTATGGGCTATTAATTAACAGCTGTGTCTAAGGAACATGTCGGCCTTAGTCACTAACAAGACTACAAGATCGCGCCACTCATCCTACACTCATCCTTCACTCATATTTGGGTTAAAATACGCTCATAGTGGCGTCCCCATCTTAAATAATTGATAATTGATAAATTGAATTGATATAATTATAACTTTATTGGAATAATTAGAATAAGTTGAGATATTGTAGGTTCGTGCGTTTAATCAAGAGCAGATTTTGGTAATATGGTAATATAAAATGGGGAATGCAAAATACGGGAACCTAAATTAATGACGGATCAAAAAGAAAATCTTGTTTGAGCAGTTAAGGCTTAAGCACACGTTTCCTTATCTTATTTATGAAATCCTTCTAAATTTGAAGTTTTAATACAACCAAAGATATTTTCCTTTGTGATATAAGTTTTTTTTTTACTAAACATCCAGCTTCCGTGTCGTTTGATACAAAATTGAGAATCATCACCGAAACTAGTAATCCCGTATTTTTTTGACTTTGTATCCAACTGCATTTTTTAAAGTTTTTTATTTTGTTGTATAGCCTTCATCAAAGTGTCAAACATGAACTTTGTTTAGGTTTGATTGTCTAGAAGAAATGGTTCACTTCATTTTGTTTATCATAAACTAGTCACACCAAGTACTTTGATGATAACTAAAATTACATTTTACCAAATGACAAACCGCTAAACCTGAGTAAGGTAACGGCACGTTACAAACTATCTTATTAAAGTTCCACTTAAAAGGATGAAGGATTTTTATTTCCAGGAATCCTAATTTCCCGCCAAAGTTTAGTAGAAGCATGTTGACCAGTGGAAGGACATTTAAATTGAAATACTGCCCGAAAATTCCTAAGTTTGAACGGGTACGGTCTAGCCTGTTTAAGACAAACAAGGACCGTAACGAGACGAGCTCTTTATCCTGTGGCTTTGCAATAACCACTGTCTCGTCAAGAGGCAAAAATGTTTTATGTAACGAATATGTCACCGTGTCATAAGTAATACACATGTTGTACAGTTTTGCAACTTATGAGTTAATATGGCAAAATATTTATTTCGTAAAAATTGTTTTGGGGAGATTGTAAAGTTCACAGTGGCTGATTTATTTACCTCACAATGTTTGTGTTTTCCTTTTGTAAGCAAATAAATTAACGCCCGGTCTGGCGTTTCACGTAAGCAGAGTAAGTTTATGAGTGACAACAAGATGAATGTTCATTTCACTTTTGAAGGGTGAGGGACGACGACGATTGGGAAAGCGAGGACTGTTCGGTATCTGGGAGCGATAAACTGCATTCTCCAACTATGTGTATGTGTTAGTACCATCGATGTATAATAACTCCCATGTAGAGTTATTATACATCGATGGTTAGTACAAAGTATAAGATATCCTACTGGGACAAAACATAATTTTAGTGTAGATTTACGAGTTGAACTTTTTAGA